CGAAAATGTAGCAGTATCTGCAACTGTATTTGATAATGTTTTGAACTTTTAAAATTTTGCATGGTAAAACGGCACTTCATATTAGTGACAAACTTTGGCCTTTTTTGATGGGTTACCTTCACTTTTGCTTCTACATTTTATTTAAAATAGGTTTCCATTTTTGGCAGGTATTAAGGTTCTTCTACATATTTACATATTCAAAAAGTTGTTAAACATCTGAGTAGTGCACTACTGCTACTAGTGGTGAGAAAGTGTATTGCACCTTATTCAAAATCAATGCGGCCCTCTGCGGCACAAAGTTAAAAACTGTTGTTCTTTTGAGGCCCTCAAGGTGGCCGTCGTGGCCCATAGGTTATGAAACTCTGGTTTAGGGAACACGAAATTTGGGCTTTGAAACAATAATTAATTCAGGTCCATGTCTGTAAAAGGCTCTTTATGTGACTCTCTTTGCCCTTATCTACAGGAAACCCACTGCTTCTCAACTCCTCCATGCAGCCTGACCTGACAGTGGGACGAGCATACAGCACGCCGCTCTGCTTCCACGACAGCGCAGACAAAGAGCTTTTCGACCCCCTGCCGGACATAAAGGTCAAAGTTCAGAGCTCCTTCATGGTTTCTCTGGGTGTGGCTGAGCGTGCAGAGTTCCACAACAAAATTCCTGCCAAGACATTTCCACATGACCTGGGCTGTGATTACTGCAGCACTGTGGACTCCCACAAAAACGGCCTGCTCACACTCAACGGGCCCTTTAGCGCCAGCAGAGAGCAGCTGAAGACCAGCGGTGTRTTCAGCCACGTCGGGGGACGGCTACTGGTGCCAAATACAGGTATTATCAATTGATGTAAAAACCAGGTAGAGTTTGTTGCTGTTTTGTCTTCCTTTGTGTAAAAGTGGCTCCTCCACTGAGTATCGACAGCAGCAGGAACTTCTCCTTATAGCAGCATCACAACCCAGAGCTGTAAAAGAGTTAGTCTTTCTCCACACAACCAGCACCTCACATCTTASTCCAAATGTCCTCAGCATTTTTGCTACTTGTACTTCCAAAATGCTGTCTGCATCATGAAAGTGCAGCCAATGGTTGTACAGTTTCAGAAAAGCCTTTTTTGTCTTTTTTTGTCATTAATGAAAGGCCTAGCAATCGATGRAGGAATGAAGGTTGCTCACTGCTTTTTAATGCCAGAGTTTTAGACTAAGATCAAACAGTTAAAAGCTTAACACAGMAAAACTAACTAAAACATAAAAGTAGCAGAATGTAGCTAAAAACAGATAAATAATAAAAACAAACAAAAAATGTAGCCAAAAATAAGAGTTTTCTGAAACATATTGTAAATAGAACGGGGTTCTTGAAGGAACTAAAGAGATCTCAATGTATTTATTTATGGAAATTTTTTTGAAAAGTAACGTGATTGGTTCCATTTAAATATTCTTTGCAGCCCTTTGTCAAAATCAAACTTTACTGGAAAATTCAAAATGGCCTTTGGGTTTGATACATGAACTTTTAGACAATACATTTTTACACAAAACCTTTTTTCACTTCAATCAAAAAATAACTGTAAAATGTAGACATTGCACATAAACAGGAGCTTGTTTTAAGTCTCACAAACACAATAACAAGTCTGATTGAACATTAGCAGCCGTCCATGATCTCTGCAGTCCATTTGAACTGTCAGCTGTTTAGTGGTGGTTGTGGCGTATGTCAGCGAGCCATCAGAGTGGAGAGGTGATGTGAAATCAGCCTCCTGTAGACGTCCTTCAGACTGACGATCCGAGTGGAGGAGCTGTTGCTGTGAAGTGCAGCTCTCACAGGGCGAGCCTGCAGGGAGGACTGTTCATTATCCAGCATCTCCAGCCGTCCAAGTCACTTCATTGCAGAGCACCAAAGCTTCTGCTCACCTAAAGTACTGAAATGACAGCTTTCCTCCAAATTCATAAAAACTCAAAGTCTGTCAAACTGAAGCTTCACACAACATCCAGACACTGTTTGACTTCACCATTTAAGGGATTTGTTTCAATTTATATAACATTTTTAAAACTTTTGCATAAACTTTCTTACAAATTCACATGAAGAAAACTGATGAAATATCTAAAAAAAAGGTTTAGTAGGTTCTCTGGACAAGTTCTTCTTAATGAGACGTTTTGTCTCTCCTCCAAGAGACTTCTTCAGTCTGAGGAGTTTCAGGTGAACTCAGCCATATAAGCACTGCCTCCACATGGTGGAAAAACAGGTTGGTCAGATGCAAAAGAGGACCATCAGCTAAACTATAGGTTGTTTGAACCCTGATTAGTTGGTCAGTGATCAGACATGGAGAGATTTTGCTTTTTTAAGTGTATTTATTTATTTATTTATTTATTTATTTATTTATTTATTTATTT